GGCCCCTGAATTTATAAAAAAAAAAAATGAAGAAATGTTCTCGGCTATTGGAGAAGGTGTTGTAAGAAGCCTTAGTTGCAAAATGTGCCTGCATCTTCGTGGGCTGGATGAAGTTCTGTTTTCTCTGCTTTCCTTCCCAGAAAAATTCTAACTTCAGCAGGTTTATTAAATCTCCCTCATACATTGTCATCACAAATGGAGTGTTATAATCTTTTCTTATCCTCAGGGCTGTAGGCTTACATATCCTGTACAACAAATTACTGCATTATTTTTTAAGAATAAAGTATTCAAGAAAGTATTCGGGGCAAATTAAGCTTTGCTTTGAGAACCCAAGCTACTTCTAAGCTAAGCCCTTGCTGCACTACTGCTTACACTGCATCATTGGACAGGAGTTGGAATGTCAAATATTCAATTTGAGACTGAAAGGGAGATTATGAAGCGTTGGTGATTATGTTGGCATTTTGTGCCACTGAATACCATTTGTGTGTTATGCACTATGTGGGTGTCTGTGTATTTGCTAAGAAGCGTAACTGAAGATGAAAGTTTAATTATTTCTTCAAGGCAAATCCTCTCTCCCATGGACTTAAACTTGCATATGAAAAATGAAAATTCATAAGAAGTGTAAAAATTGGCTAAAATTAAAACCGATTTATTTTGCCCTATTTATTCTTCTGAATAATAAAATTTCCCCATGGGTCTTTGGAACATATGTGGAATAATTACACTGTAGAAGTAGTACTTTAGTTTAGCTTCTAGAGCTAGGGCAAACATTGTGATTATGCTGCAAGCTTAAGTCTAGATTTTATAGAAAATCTCATTCAAGCCTGTGTTGCTGTCAAGTGCAAAAAACTGTGACCCATGGATTGGTCCCTGTGGGAGCAATTATTCTTTACAGAGTTTTTTTTTTTTGCAGCACTGAATATTATAAATGTCAGAAAAAAGTTTAACCCCAGTACCTCTAACAGAGTGTTTCCATACCTACTGGCAAGAATATCAATTTTTAGCTTATATTGCAAGCAATTTATGATTAAGCTTGGGTTTTTTTAAAAAACATGTCTTTACAAGCAACTGAAAACTAACAATGTTGTCTCTTGGATGTAGTCTGTGTGCTGTGGTGAGGACTAAACACCAGGTTTGCCAGACGCTGCATAACGCAGCAGGGCGCCGGGGTCCCGCGTGCAGGGCGCAGTGTGGATTGGTGATTAAAAGCTCCAGGGGCAGGGGAGGAGCGAAGGGAGGGAGCTGGTGTTGCTGCGGGTCTGATATCTCATAGACATGAGTGAAATGTTTTGGTTAACAACAGGAGTGTGGTCGTTCCTGATGTCTGGGCAAGGCAGTGGGCAGGTTCTAGTATAGAAATCCCGGGAGCTGATGCTTGCCTTCAGAAGTCTCTACTACTTCTTGACGAGATGGAATGTACTTAGTTTAGGCTTTTTTTTTTTTGACTTACTAATCAAAGCATTAGTCCAAACATTTAAAATGCCATCTGTCTAATAGTTAAAATACCCAGCAGATTTCTTCTCCTCACTCTGTTTTCTCATGCGTCTTCTTTCAGTGCGGGGCAGTTGTATTTTCATTAGCTGTGAGGAGATAGTGATGAAAAGGATGGAGCCTGCATCGTGTGTTCAAAGGGTTTTTTGCAAAGTGAAAATTGTTGTGAAATGCAAGGAGGGGCCTTATGCCACCCATCTCTGTGAAGTCAAGTCCGAGGAAGGGCAGAAGCACCTTCCGCTTACCCCAGTTAACCGCACAGAGGCGTAACAGAAAAATCAAACTTAAATATGCTAATCTTCCAGATAGGTAGAATCTCAGGGATAATTGTCACCTTAATTGGTACTTGGAATTGCATAGGAGATTGAAGAGGTTTCTTCAGAAATAATATCCATGAAGCTTTTACAGCAGTGTCTACAAGCTAGAGGTTCAGATCAGCCTCCAAGGGTAGCTCCTGAAACCACCCCCCTTTTTTCTTTAGAGTTTGGAAATCTGTTGGGTTCTTCAGATTGCTTGTTTCACAGTCTTTTTATAAGAATTTTAAGAGACTTTGATCCAAATGAGGTTTCTGATGATGCTGTAGACAAAACTATCTTATCAAGAGAGAGGAGCAGGGAGCAGGTTTGTAGCTTGTCACTGATCTGCACGTTCGTTCCTCGAGGAGACGGGCTGCATCTCCAGGCAGAGGAGATGATTCCAAGATTTTTTTTCTATAGGACTCATGCCAAGCTATATAAAGATCTATTATTGTGGGCAGAAACATGAGTTTGTTTTGTTTTTTAGTAATTTTGTAGAATTTTCAGTGAAATTTGACAGACTTCTGGAGGAAGGAATATGTTGGGCTTTAAGCTATGCTTTGTATGCTTTTTTTTCGCTCTGTTATCTGTACAGCTTTTCCAAATAGCACAAAGGTAATAACAAAATATTTAATAACAGAACTCTAGCAAATTGGTATACCTACCTGTGTTAAAAAAGAAGGAAAATTGCTTTTTAAAGTGTCCCCTCGCCCTCCCTAGTGGATATAGATCTAGCTTTGTCAAAGTGGCCGATTACCTGTATTTTACTTAGAAGTATTCAGGGTTGTAGTGACATAAAAGAAAAATGCATTTTTAAAAATAGTCTGGATTTTAAGTAAATGCATTCAAGTGTTTATTGCCTTTGAAAATTCAAGCAGTCCCCAAAAATGACAATAGTGAGAGCGTTATTGCTCATCTAAGGTAATAAAGCTGCTGTCAAAACAGCTGCCTACTCAGGCTTTTCTGTGAATAGCCTTCAGAGCTGGAAGAATATAGCTGTAAGGCATGAGGGAGAGCTGGCATTATAAGAATGATTCTTTCCAATGCAGTTTCTGAGCATCTGATTCACTGGACAGAATATCCAATATTTCATTTTGTCTGTCAGCTGTCAGCCGCTGCTTCTTTTGGAGTCCACCTGCTGCTTTTTTCTAACATGAACACTGAGAGTGTAAAATTACAAACACTCAGATAATGATTATATAGGAATAATTTTTGAAAAATTTGGCATGCATTTTGGTAAGTATCTGAAAGTATATTTCAAAATGTTATGGGGAAATAGCCCAGAGCGGGTGTGAAATGCTGTGGAGTTCAAGCTAGACCATGGGTTCTGGAGCTCTGTAGTCCCCTGCATGCCATTGTACTTGACACAAAATATACTTCCTCTCTACAGTATGCCCTGACTGTACCTACATTTTTGAGCACAATGCTTGCATGTTATTTTTAGCTAAATCACTTTGCTATTTTCCAAGGCTAGTCATTCCTTCAATGTGTATGTGTATTTTATCTTGTTCCAATTTCTCCTCCTGTTTCATGAGGTGACACAGAGGGGAACAGTAGGGTTCTGCCCTTTGCTCTGGCTTTCATTCTTTAAAGGCAGCCCAGAAATCGATGTGCAAACACGTGCAGGTACAGACTGCTCAGATACTTCCCTTTTGAGCGTGTGAGGTGAAGGTTGTGCGCTGCAGCCTGCACTGTACCAAGCTGGTTGCCTGTGGCCTTCCAAGCCCAGCGGGGAACAAGTCATAGCCAGTGGGACCAGTTTGGGCTGCAGGTCCTGCTCCTTCACCCCAGAGGCCTGGGGCCAGTGGGGCACGGGGCACCTCAGCAGCTCCTGCTCCGCTCCGTGCTGGCTGTCCTGGAGCTCCACTCGTGGTCCTGTGTTGATCCACCTAAATAACACAGCGGTGTGGGGCTCCAGGCTTCCGAATTCCACACAGCTACAGGCTTATGGCAGATCGCCGCTGAAATGAAGAATTTTCAAAGCAGGATAGATATGAGGAGGAAGCATTTTTACATATTTTTTACTTTTACGGAGGCAGCAGCAACAGCACTGTCATTAACTCCAGATCGCTCCTACCAGCTCTAACTTCCCCCCTGCTTTTTTGTTTTTTCTCTTTTTCTCCCTTCTCCCAACCCAAAAAAGTATTTTATGTCCCCAAATCAATTATCTTGGTGGCTCCCTTTAGAACTAGAAGAAGGTAGATATCCATCTCCAAGGATGGAGCACGTATCCACAGGCACGGTAGGTAGTGTGCTTGTAGACATTGGTGGTGGCTTTAGATCAGTCAGCAGAGGAGGAGCTGCAATGAGAACCCAGCAAATCCTGAGCAGTTGATGAGCAGTGGCTTCCTTTTGATTTACAGCATGACTTTACAATCAATCTATAATGATTTGAAGAGAAAAATACAAAATTCTAAGTAAAAGGGAAAGGCCTTACAATTAGCAGTTTCTTGTCTTCTCTAATTCCAAGAGCCTGTACTGAAAATGGATGATAAGATGCAAAATATAAACTGTTGGCCATCCCCTTTGTAGATTCAAGCTGCGGTATGGCTCACATCCTGCTGGTTTGTGGAGAATATTCAGTTTCATCTCAACTATAGATTACGTGTAGTTGGATGAATTTAACAAGGGTTGCACATGTGATGGAACTTCCAGCTCTTGTAAATCACGTTCCTGCTCTGATCTGCCCTGCTTTCATCTCTGGTACATCTCGTTCATTAAAGAACTGGATGGGAAGTGAATATGGTAGCTTGCAGAATGTTTCAGGAGTGCGTGCAGTACTATTTTTTTAGTCAGGTAAATAAATACAGTTCAGAAAACTTACAGAGGAATATTGCACTGGAGTTTAGATTTGGTTGGGACTGCTTGGTCGTTAATTTGTTTGAAGTTGACACTTGAGTTGAAAGACTAATAGCTACCCCACTGCACTGCTCAATTTTAAATCTAATCTGTTACAGAGTTTGGGTATACAGTGACTGTGGATGTAGTTTGTCATTTTTATAGCTAGTAGGGCAGTGCTATTGTTCAGGGATTTGGGGGTTTACCATGCACATGCACAGGCTTTTTTGTGTATTAGTAACAGCTTGTACGTAATGAAATTGAGTTTTTTTCTGATCTTAAAGTCCTAAAATATATAATACAGCACTTCTTGCCACTATTCAGGATAGTTTACTTAGTGTTAAAATCCAGAAAACTTGTGTGTTTTCATCAACTGAAAATTTTAAAGAAAATATGCAAAAATACCAGTCTAATTCTTGTTTTGTCTATGGAGTGCTGACAATATCATTGTATTGCTGCTGTGTTAATGTGCACATCATCTCTGCTTTTCATGTGTGTGGCAGATTCTTCTAATAAGAAACAGATCCATCTTCTATCTGTTTATTTGTTGGGGCTCTACGGAAATGTATCTACTAACTTACAAATATGTTCTTCTTTTCCAATATTAGTCATTTGACAATATTAGTAATTTGAAAACTCATTAAGTTTTAATTTACGTATATGCAATACAGATATACAAATACATAGTCTGGCAAGCATTATTTTCTTTTTTTAAAATATTTCAGATTAATCAATTGTTCTATCCGTAGTAGCATAAAATAGTATTTCACCCTATACATGGAGCATTAATTTTAAGGTAAAAGATGGCACAAATGACCACCCCTCCCTCACACACTAAAAAAACTTTGGGAATTATTGTATTACTACAGTCGTCTTTTTTTTTTTCTGTACCCATTCATTATTTCAGTATCAGTAATACTTGAAACTTACAGTGTAAACACTAAAATATTTGGCACACTGCTTTTTCCATAGCTAATGGATGTACAAGATCACCCAAGTGTAAATCAAATTATGTAGCCTATTATGCTTTACATGGGGAAAACAAAATATGAAATACTTTACAGCAATGAAAATGCCTGTGAATCAAATTTTTTTTGTTGCTCCTAAGGGGTACAATTTTGACAATTTTATGAGGTTGCAATTTATTTGTAAGATGAGTTGGCACATGTTTTTTTATAAAAGTAATGTTCATATAGCACACTGCTAATAAGAATACTTTTTTTTTAAAGCCACTGGTCTTGTTGATTTGTGTTGTTATAACAAAGTATCTGCTAGAATGCCTGGAAGTGCTTCTGTGAGATACGCTTAGAAACCCTGAACAGTGATGCTGGCTTGGTCTGCACACCACAAGCTTTCAGTCTAGGCTGAAGAACATTTTTTAGTAAATAATAAAAAAGGAGCACTGTTAAGAATTTCGAAAACATTTTTTGCTCCAATGAAGGCCTGATCTTCTGCAGGAGAGCCAGCAAGTAGTACTGGCCTTGGAACTCTCACACTACCGGAGAGATCCGATGTGACTGTCAGAAGACCTATTTCGATGGGAATGAAGCTTTCTTGGATAGAAGTCTCAAATTCTTGCTCAGAAGAAAATATTTTAAATCATATTGTACATTTGATTGTACATGAAAATCTGCATGTTTTTGCACTTGGAAGAGAGGGCTTGTAGCTATTTAATGAATTTTTATTGCATTGATTATTTTGTCAGGAAAGCAATTATACAAAATAGTTTGGAGAACTGCAAATATTTCCGTATTGGCTACTTTTAACAAAAGTGCCTCTCCTCAGCTGCAATTAGTGGAAGCTTGTTCCTCCCACAGATTCACTAAAATTACTAAGTTTCATCTTTAAGCCTCTTTGCCTTTTTTTTTTTTTTTTTTTTTTTCTCCCTCTGATGAAGAACAGTAGAATTAGTTCATTAAATTGGTTTTAAAAAGCCCACATGAGGTGCTTTTCCCAAAGAAAGGCTGGGAGCAGGGAGCTCGCCCCGTGCAGAGGGAGCTGCAGGGAAGCCGGGTCGCCCTTCCCCATTGCGGGGGCTCCGGGGAGCGCAGAGGCAAGGCCGCGGAGAGGGAGATGTATTGGATTCCCTTCAGCCTAGATTATCAAAGGTGCTGCCGCTAACCTAAGTGAGGACACTGGTGTCAATTTTCTGACATGCTCTAGTCCCACTTTCATAGTGCTTTTTCAGGAGAATTTAAGCCCTTAAAGGCCAGTGTTTTAAAGGCAGGTTAAGCCCTTGGTTCCTGGTTGCAGTGTGAGTCGGTGCTTTTGTATTTGGGCCGGTGGCCTTAACCTGCCGCGATAGGCGCTCTTGAAGCGCCCTCGCGTCTTGAAGCTCCCTCGTGGCTGCCCTCCTGCCAGCCGTGAGGGGAAGCCCTGGCTGGTCACCCCGGCGCGAGGTCCGGCCGCCCCGAAGGACTGTCCGAAGTCCCTGCGTGCCGCCCCGCGGCGCCGTCCCTGCGCGGCGCCCCCGAGTCGCGCGTGCCCAGCCGCGCCGGGAGCCCCTGCCAGCACCCAGGGGACTTCTCTGCTCACGTGAGCCCTTTTCTAACAGCTGTCTTGGCTTAGAATTGTTGGAGTTTGGAGTCCCTTTCGGTTTTGTATTGCTCTGCAATGCAAAATAGTTTAAATGATTGTGTGTTCAGAGATGGCTGGTGGCAAATGCGTTAGAAAGTAAAAGAATGGGACTGGAAAACCAAAGCTTAATTCTACCCTGCTCACTCTATGTTTTGTTAAACAGAGTTAGGAAGTGCCACGTGCATCTTGGTTGCTAAACA